GGGGCGGGGCGTAAATGGTGAATAAGAACTCCACAACATATCAGGGCAATGACAAGCATGTAAAAGCCTCCCCTCAGATAAAAACAATATGCAAGTGTGACGTTTACTTAAATCGGCAAAAAGGGTCTTGAACATCCAGTAAATTTTAATGTTCTTGCAGATTTGTTTTTACGCCCCATCAACACTACTTCAGACCATTTCAGAGGCTGGGTGCTTCGCTCTTCTGAACCATCTTACTGTTCCTGTGGTTTTATGCACCCGCATAATTTAGCAGAATGTGATCGATTGTTGCATGATTTCTTATTATTTTCCTTTATTATTCTTTGTTAAAATTACAGAATCGAAAAACTTCACATTTTTTGGGCTCAGTTTGCATAATTTCAGATTTTTTCTTGCAAAACACGACGGGGACAGATCTTAGGCTGAGAGGGACACAATGACCCAGCATTCCGACGGAAGATACTCAACAAAAATCCTCCCCGCACAGGGAATCGAACTCACGTACTCTGTATGTGATGTCGAGGCGCCTAACCGCTACACTGCAGACTCTTGTTGTTGGACCATGATGGTGCTCCCGTTTGAAATGCGTTGGAATCAGGCGCTCGTCAATTTTTGGGCATCTGGAGTTACTGGTATCAGCTTAAAGCTTCTTTGCTTTGGAGGGAAAAATTCCAATCTACCTTGAATAGAAATCGAGACATTTGCCATTGGTGTACGTGGGGGGCGCCTGGTTTCGTAGGTAAAACTCACGAGAAAATGACCACCAAAGTGTGATGACTCCCAAAGCTTGATAGGCCTTAGAAACTAAAAATCTGCAATCTGTGTGCCTTTAACCAGCGTTTTTCAGTGAAATCAACACAGAAATATGTTTTTGAACCGAAATACAAGATGCTGACTCCCCCCCCCCCCCAAAATGACCCAAACAATTGCGTAAAAATTTCCAACAGGCGCTGGTTTCTTCGATTTCAATATTTTGACGAGCGCCTGATTTCACCACGATGCCTCACAAATATAAAAGTCTAAAGAGGCTGGGTAACGAGCGTAGTTGAATTTTAAGTTCAGTTTGGTTCAAACTTTACAGCGAGCGCTCGCTGCCGCATGAAGTACCGTAGATTAAAAAAAAACCCAACTTACTTATAGAACTAGAATAGATGGGTGCCCGAGAAAGATCGGGACAATATAGGGGGTTTCTTCAGAGCATCTCAACCGATGTTTTATTTATTTATTTATTTTTTTTTTTGGGGGGGGGGGGCTGGCTAAGTACTCAACAAAATAAACTTCCCTCCACGGAAATCGAACTCACGACTTCTTCATGCAACGTTCGGGGACTAATCATTGCATCACAAACACCGGTAATGAAAAACTCGTGTTAAATCCAATGCACTATTTACACAAAGCAAGAGATCAATTCGTAAAAGGAAGCAGGGTAGCTTGTTTTCAATAAAAAGCTCTTTGATACAAAAGCAGCCATCTAGCGCCGAGAAAAAGCAAAACAGACAGGGATAAAGGAATGGAGTATAAAAGTAGAATTTACCAAAGGCTCCCTCCAATAACCAACAGAGTAGAAAAGACTTAGAAAAGGATATGAAAATATGAGACCGGGGAAAAAGGGGGAAGAAGTTGAAGGTAGGGAGATATGGGAAGGGGGGAGGGGGGAGAGGAGAGAAGGAAAGGAGAAAGAAGGGAGGGATGGGCTTGGGGTGGAAGAGGCTGGGGAAAGGAAAGAAATGAGGGGGAGTGAAAAGACTGCGGTT